GTAGCATGACTTCCCTCTCCCCAGCCGCCGGAGCCAGCTCCTCCGGGTAAATCCCAAGGGGTTCCCCGGTCAGGTCCGGTGTTGTGCCGGTAAGAAGTCCGCTCCGACAGCTTCTGGCGTCGGAGCGGGCAGTAGAGTCGAGAGTCCCAGACCTTCTCCCCAGCTCCTCCGGCCGGGGGAATCCCAAGGGGTTTCCCCGGCCAGGTCCGGTGTTGTGCCGGTAAGAAGTCCGCTCGACAGCTTCTGGTGTTTTTAAAAAGTATCCCAGGGGCACGGTAAGGGTCGGAGATGTTTAGTCTATTTAATTTCTGACTATATAAAACGATTTCTTCTGTTTTAAAGTGTGAAGTAAACTCCGACGAAGTAAAATCCAAGCGGATCCCGTTCATGTTCATGGTTACATCCGTGTTTGTTTAGCTTTTTTGCATGCCAAAATGGCGTCCACTAACTGAGAGTCACGTGGGGTCCGGAGCTGTATATGGTTCACACTCCTGACAGGAGGCGCCAAACCCGGCTGTGTCATGTGAATATGTTGAAGCCTTTTCTGTCCAGGGAAGAAGAGTGCAAAGACCAAAGTGGTGGTGAAACTACAAAGGCAGCTTCTGTCGCTCTGGTGTCTGTACCCCTCAACCATGATGATGGTTTAAAAATAAGTAGAGAAGGTCAACATGGTGGTCGACTTTCAAATTCAATGATACTTGCCACCTTAAATGACTACCTTTCTTATCTTTCCAGTGATGAGAAGGAGGATGTGAAAGGCCTCATTGAGGCCTACCCTACCATATTTGGAGACGTGCCGTCTCGGACATCTGTGATACAGCATGACATTGATGTAAGCGGTGTGACACCGATTAAACAGCATGCGTATCGTTGCCCTCCCCTTAAAAGGGAAATAATGAAGCAAGAGGTACAATATCTCCTTGAAAATGATTTGGCTGTACGAAGCCACAGCTCGTGGAGTTCTCCATGTCTTCTGATACCTAAGCCAGATGGTTCTATTCGCTTTTGTACAGATTATCGGAAAGTGAATGCTGTCACAACCCCAGATTCATTTCCATTACCTCGCATGGAAGACTGTGTAGATAGCATTGGTGCAGCTACCTACATAACAAAACTGGACATGTTAAAAGGGTATTGGCAAGTACCTTTGACCCCTAGGGCATCAGACATTTCTGCTTTCGTAACCCCCGACCATTTTTTGCAATATAAAGTAATGGCATTCGGGATGTGCAATGCTCCAGCTACCTTTCAGCGACTCATGACTTCGGTATTGGGTGATGTGGAACATTGTAATATTTACTTGGATGACATTGTAATTTATTCTTCTACTTGGAATGATCACATGAACACCCTAAGGGATGTTTTCCGCAGGCTTGACCAAGCTTCCTTAACTCTGAATCTGGCTAAATGTGAGTTTGCTAAAGCTGTGGTAACCTACCTGGGAAAACAAGTGGGTCATGGCCAGGTACGCCCCGTAAACGCAAAAGTGGAAGCCATCATACACTACCCTATGCCAACCACCAGACGTGAACTCCGCCGTTTTCTGGGTTTGGTTGGCTATTACAGGTGTTTTTGCCAGAACTTCTCCACAGTGGTGGCTCCTCTAACAAAGATGTGCAGCACCAAGCAACCTTTTGTGTGGGATGCTGACTGTCAACAGGCTTTTGTTTCTGCCAAGTCTCTTCTCTGTAGTGCACCTGTATTGGCAGCTCCAGACTTTGACAAAGTCTTCAAACTGGAGGTGGACGCAAGTGCTACTGGGGCTGGAGCGGTGTTGTTGCAAGAAGGGGCAGATGGCCTCAACCACCCGGTTTCCTACTTCTCAGCTAAGTTTAAGTCTTATCAGCTTAACTACTCAACCATTGAGAAGGAGACTTTAGCCATGCTCCTGGCTCTACAACATTACGATGTTTATGTCGGTTCAACGTCATATCCTGTCACAGTGTACACTGACCATAACCCTTTGGTGTTCCTCAAGCAGATGTACAATCGCAACCAAAGGTTAATGCGCTGGGCATTACTGGCCCAGGAATACAACCTGGACATCCAACATAGAAAAGGAGCAGACAATGTGATCGCCGATGCCCTCTCAAGAGTACCAAGTTTATACCCTTAGCATGGTAGAACTTAATAGTGTTGTAATTTTACTGTGTAAAAATCTTTTATGGGGGATGGTGTTACGTCCATTGACCTGTAGGGGCTCTCTTGGAGTAGAGAGCTTCCTGTTTGGTGTTTGTTTGCAGGTCTGCTGCCACACCCGGGTGCCCAGCTGGGATCATTTGCTCCTCATCAATGGACCTGCATAAAAGCTCCAGCCAGCTGGCGCCCCAGCCCCTAACTCCTGGGCACAGACTGTTTTGGTGATTGTGAAGGTGTTAAAACCTGTGTAGCATAAGCTACTGTGATACCAGTAGTATTTAGTGGATACTGGTTGCACTAGAAGTTCATTCTTTTATTAGTTGGGAAGTATTTTATGGGGTGCCATTTGTAAAGTCAAACAGTCATAATCTAACAGCAATATTTTTGGTTATTTAGCATATCATAAGAGAAAAAAATTGGGAGTTCACTTTTTCGAAGTCATATTTTCATCATGTTATTCATACATTTATAAATGTTAAAGTTTCCAAATAAATATTTAGTTAGCAAGATAAATATTTAATTTGCAGTTAAATATTTATTTTGCAAACTAAATATTTAGGTCTGATCTAAATATTTAGTTTGTAAAATACATATTTAATTCACTAACTAAATATTTAATTTACTAATTAAATATTTATTTTAGAACTAAATATTTAATTTGTAAATTAAATATTTATTTTCCGAAATAAATATTTAGATCCCAGCTAAATATTTATTTTGGAGCTGAACATTTAGTTTGCAAAATCAGTATTTGGGAAATAAATATTTAAGTCTGACCCAAAAATATAAACTATAGTGTGGAGCTAAATAACATCATGGAAAATAAATATTTAGCTGGGATCTAAATATTTCTTTGGAAAATATTTAATTTACAAATTAAATATTTAATTTAAATTTTAAATATTTATTTCCAAAATAAATATTTAATTAGTAAATTAAATATTTAGTTAGTGAATTAAAAATTTATTTTACAAACTAAGTATTTAGATCAGACCTAAATATTTAGTTTGCAACATAAATATTTAACTATAAATTAAATATTTAGCGTGCTAACTAAATATTTATTTGGAAACTTTAACATTTATAAATGTATGAATAACATGGTGAAAATATGACTTTGAAAAAGTGAACTCTCAATTTTTTCTCTTATGATATGCTAAATAACCAAAAATATTGCTGTTAGATTATGACTGTTTGACTTTACAAATGGCACCCCATAGTATTTGGTAGGGGTTCTATGCCTTTTTCTTTGATGCACCGTTTTCTCCTGTTTTGTGGACAGCCAGTGTAGCCCAGGCATTGTATTTGTTTCTTTTCATTAGAGAAGGGTTGCATGTTTTTTGTTTTAGCTAAAGGGGTGGTTTTGTTTGTTGTTTTGGCCTGGAGACCCTGACGTTGAACTACTTCCCTCTTTTTGTTATGGTGTTACGAAGTTTCTGGTTGTTTTTCGTTTATTTGTATATTAAATGCCTTCTTTCAGTTTTTTGTTATTTTTTTGTGTTACACCCTAACCTCCTGGACCGCTAATATCTCAAGGGTTGTAACAAACACTTTGTTTTGTTTTCTTGTTTTTATTTAACTGTTTTCCTGTCCTGTCTGTCTCTCATCTTCCTGCATCTCCTCTAAACTCTCCAGAAAATCTGCTGCCTGGATTCTTACTTTTTCACCTCATCAGTTACTTTTGAGCAGACCAAAGGGATCTCCTGACCACAAAGCGGAGAGCACGGATGCTGCGTCAGTGAGGTGAAATCACCGCAGCACAGGTGATGAGCTCCGCAGTGGCAGAGTGCTTCAGCCGCAAATAAGACAGAAAATAGAGGACATGACCGATCGTGTGTTAATTATAGTTTTTTGGTTGCGCCACTTTGAGAATGGACCATGCGCTGGAAGCAGCTGCCTGGATCGCTGCCCAACAACGCGCTGTGCCGCTCTCTGCTCAAAGGAGTCCATAAATGATGTAATATAGGTAGAAAACGTTTTTCCGGCTCCCCTGGATGTGTAGGATATCCAGCTCCCCCATAATTCGATCCCTGCGCCTGGATGAAAAGCCGGACATTTTCATCAATACAAGAACCCCCAGTCCGGACGCCCGGGCAGAGAGTGAAAAGTGGACATGTCTGGGGAAAACCGGACATATGGTCCCCTAGTTTAATATAAAGCGGGAGATTACAGATACAGTATATTGCTCGTGCCCTTGCTGCCTTGGGCCCTTTAGAGTTCGTGGGCCCGGGCAATTGCCCAGTTGCCCATATGGTTAATTTGGCCTTGCTAGTATCTAATTTAGAAGAAGAAGAAGAAGCGCTTTGGGCTTCCTGACAGGGTTGCGGAAGGCGCTTTATAAATAAAGCTTTGATTGATTGATTGATTGATTGATTGAAGAAGAAGAAGTAAATAGTGCCTCTCAAGATAAAAAGCATGTGGTGCTTTGCAAAATTTAATTGAAAGTGGATTATAAAAATAAAATGTCAGGGGATCTTGTGGTGCAGGATGAAGATATAACTCTTTAAAACAAAATAAAATGGGTGAAGGTACAATTTTTAAAACATTTAAGGTGTAATATAATAAATAAATGAACTAATCTTTTCATCAGCGATCCTATATGGTCAAAAATGAACAGTAATATTAATATTTTTAGGATTGATACATTTGAAGCATGAAAAAACTTGGAAAGTGTGAGGTAAAATAACCTTCTGGGTTAGATAAAGTTATTATTATGCTGAATGTAATGACTATAAATTGTAGATGATTTATTATATTAATCCACGTAGGTTTATGAATACAGATTACAATGTGACACCAATTGTTTTCTAAATTCTCAGCATATCTGTGGCAGGAGTCTAACCAATAAGAGAAACACTAACCAGTTGTTCCAGTAGGCTTACTCATCATGTTTCGTCCCGTCAGGTCACCAGTTCATTCACTACCAGCCACACAGCAAAGAAATTCTTGTCATTTTTGTAAGAAAAACAAGTTCTAAATAAAAACACTAAATAATAAACCTACCTTCAGTCGTGAGCATCAGTCTCTACAGACATCCTTCACACATGCAGCTTTTTATTTACAGTAACGGAGCACTTTCACCGGTCAGAGCAGATTAGTCAAACATTTGTTTCTCTTTCGCTTCTTGCAGCAACAGCAGCGTCAGTGCTGCATTCAGGGTACCTCAGAAATGTTGCCGACAGACCAAACGCGTCCCAGTGACAGAACTATAAATTTACAATCACGTGTCAGTGTCAGACCCGACTGTCATAAGATGTGAGGTCTGTTAAGATTAAATGTCTCAAGATTTAATGACAGCTTTTCTATAAGTGAATATTTTTTTTCCAATTAAACACAATTTTAAATGGCCTGTATTTGTATAATGGGCTCGACACACGGGAGGCGACATCGCCTCTCCTCCATTCATTTTCGATGAGACATGCGCAACAAAGCGATAATCGCGGGTCTCCCTCCTACCAAGCGAAACGCTAAAAACCTGCGTGTGAAATTTTGCGCTCGTGCACGTGTCGTGCACAGGCGACCCAGCGACGCGATCCCAGAAAGTTGAAAATATTTCAACTTTTCATCGCTGTCGCTCGGACGAGGACCAATCAACGGAGGTTTCATTCACTGACCAATGAGCGGACATAATGCTCCGCACATTTCCGAGCAAACATGGAGGAGAAGTTGATTATTATTATGTTTTATATAATAAAATCAGAAGTAAGATTCCACATAACTCTAGCAGCACCTTGTTAAACATCATATCTACCGCTTTTTTAACTCTGAACCGCTTAAATAACCTTAATTCCCTCCAACCTGACACAGCCAAACAAAACAACGGAAGTTTCAATTTCGCCATGGAACAGAACGCGTAGACAGCTTTGCCGCTGGCCGCTGCCGCGGGTCGCCTCCCGTGTGTCAGGTAATAAAAGCGACGGCGACAAATTTCGCTGATTGCGTTCGTTTGTCGCCTCCCGTGTGTCGAGCCCATTACGCTTCTTCTACAACCCACCAAGGCGCTTCACAACACAGTCATTCACCCATTCACACGCTGATGGTGATGAGCTATAGCCACAGCTGCCCTGGGGTGCACTGACAGAGGTGAGGCCTGCCACACACCGGCGCCCAATGGTCCCTCAGACCACCAACAAGGCAGGTTAAGGGTCTTGCCCAAGGACACAACAGCAGCATTTCTCTGGTCATAGGGTGTGTCCGAATCCGTGAGCAGGATGCCTGTGAGGACGCATTTTGAGGTCGATGACATCACAGCGCAGTGACAAGTTCCAAGAATACTCATTCTTGCGTCCTCAAATGCGTCCTCGCTCCGCCCACATTTCGAGGACGGGTCTGTTGTATCCTCACAGAACAAGGCTATCCCGGCATGCTTTGCGCGCCGGCTGTGGACTTTCAACAGGAAAAGAAAATGGGGAGAGCTACGAAGTTTTAAACGGTAGTTTGTTGAAAAATAGCGGTAGAAAACTAAAAAGCTTAAAGCGGTTCTGTTTATAGACATATTTCGTTTGTATGTTTGTTTTTTAAATTACATTTTAAGCAGAAATCAGCCTGAACGAGCTTGTTTCGCGAGTCCCGTAGTTATTTCCGTTTGTGTGTGTGTGCGCGCGCGCACGCACATGTGTGTGTGTGTGTGTGTGTGTGTGTGTGTGTGTGTGTGTGTGTGTAGCGAATTAAACTTGTCATTTGTTTTAGGGACAACAGAGCATTTTTATTAAGCTTAGTGGTGTAGAGTGAAGCTGTTTACACATGACCGCAGTAGTTCATTGTGTGCCAGGGTCAAACCTGCAACCTTCCGATCACTGGACAACCCGCTCCACCTCCTGAGCTGCTGCTGTAATTGTTTTGATGATTTTTACAACAATATATTTCAGAGTAATGAAAAACTTAATTGAAACCTATCCCTGAAACTTTTGTTTTAACCCCGCGCCTTTTGTTAAATGGATTAGATTTATATTTGTATTTTCTATCCTGAATATTGTGTTTACTTACTAAGGACCATATAGATAAAAGTTGGTAGCAAACTCTGGTACATGTAATCTTTATGAATTTTTTTTACGAGATTAAAGATTATTTCCATTCAAATAAACAAAAGTGATTATGAGGTCTGATGTGTTGTGCACTTAGTGTCATGTTCCTGGGCAGAGGTGAGTCACACCTTCTCCTCTCACCAGACTCTGAGCTAATTCTCCACAGTTGAGGAGCAGGGGGAGCGGCAGCTGCAGGATATTTCCCAATCAGGGACGCGGGTTCAAAAGGAGGATGGAGATACTTCACTTTGACGGATGATTGCACCAGTTTAGGTAGCACCAGCCACTCGACTCTGAACTTTGATCTTGTTAATTCGTGTTTTGACTCGCCTTCGACTAGTGGATTTATGACCTTGGATTGTATTTTGGATTTGGAATTGGATTATCCCTTACGCCTGTTTTTGTCTCGCTCAGGATCATCTCATCATCTACTCACCCTCGCTGTCTTCGTTTTCTGGAACATACTCATCACGTCCCATCCTCCTCCGCCGTTCCTGTTTGGCTTTCCCTCTGCTACCTCACCCCTCCTGGATCTCTCATCCTCTGCCCAGCGTCCTCCCCGGCTTCCCCTCCTCTACTGATTAACCTGAGCACCTCAGAGACTCGAGCCGTGTTGCTCATCCCACAGGACTTCCCTGTGCGGTTTCAGTTCCCGTTTTTATAATAAAGACATTTTACTTTACTGCTTTGGACTACGTGTGCTGATTCTGCATGTCTTGGGTTAGACACTTACCTCGAGCCATGACACTTAGCTCTCGTGAATAACTAATACAACCAGACTGACAAGCTAAAACAAAACAAGAGCAAAAATCACTGTCACCAAGCATAAAAAACTTTGCCCTGTTCTATAAACCTATAAATCACCATGAAATTTCTTATTTCACAAGTCATTTTTGGGAATTTTTGCTAAAAGGGACCTGGGTTATACCAGCTAGATATCACCTCATGTAAATAATTATTGACTTCCATTTGAATAACAAAAGTATACAGCTGTGTTAAGGTTAATAAAAATATGATTTAGCATGAGTTGCTATCAAATCAAATCAAATCAATTTTAGGACATTTTACCAGTCTACTGTTGAGCCTCACATTAGCATTAGCTGTTACCATTTCTACCTGGTTAATCTCTGTTTCTCCAAACTTAGGTTGTTCAAAGAGCTGTCCACAACAGGTAAGATAACTAATTGTTCACCATATTTCTGCTAAATCTCACCGTTAAAAGTGTCCACAATCAAACGGGAGTGGCTGAAATCATTTTAATTGCACAAGAGAAAATCAAAAAAATCTAACTCTTAAAAGACAGTAACAGCTAAAAAAATCACAGAGTAAAGTCTCATAAATTGTAAACAGTCAGGAATTGGAGTCACTGGAGAGAGAGCAATGGTGTCAGGAGAATGTCCAGATGTTCTGATTCAAGCTGTGAGTCCTCCAGGAACCTTGATCACTAGCTGAATGACTGACATGTGTTGGATTCCATATTCAGACAGGGGTTTTGCATCCTCGTTCAGCTGCTTGTCTGTGAAAATCAGCCGCAGGTTCTCCTGTCCTGTAAGAAAACCGCACAAGCACAGCAAGATGCGAGACTCATAAACATGGTCCCAGAACAACACAGAGGAATGTCCTCTGGTTCTATCCAGAAGTTTAACTAAATTAAATAAATCGTCATATTTGAAGATGATTAACACATTTTTAATTTTAACATTTCAGAATTGTTCAGCTATACTTTAGTCGTTTTTAAAGGTGCATAAAGTAAGAATGACATCCTGTGGTCAAATGTGGGTACTGCAGTCCATGTAACAATACAAACAAGTCTACTCTAAGCAGCTGCTGTGAAATGCTGTGCTGATTGGCTCCAGAAGAAGAAAGACATTTCACTGTAATATTGAGTTATTGGTAACTGAAAAGTAGCTAGATATATTTTTAGAGACAACTTTTTGTCTATAATTCACTGTTAGTATTGTTAGCTCAAAGTTAGCCTCTAGCATTCTTATCCGGGTTTCCATTTTTTGAGAAATGGTGCTTTTGCCAGCTGGTGTTAGATTACAGATGATTGCACTGACTTGGCAACCCAACAGGCTCACCCATGATTGGCTCTGAACCAGGAAGTGTGGAGCTGGAACAGATTATAAGCAAAGGCTACATCAGCCATTTTAACAGAGGACTGGCCTCCATTTTGCCAACTGATAAGGAATCTGTTTAAATGTAACCTCCCTTCTACCATATTGAGAAATTAGACTGCTTTTTTTTCCACTGTAGAATTATTACTTATTGCACCTTTAAATCGTCAACAGGAAGATCAATTTTCACTAGAACCTGTTACAACTTGTTGTGTTCAGCTGCTTAACGTCTAAAGGTTAGCTACAAATCTGTTTTACTTAAGTCTTTACTCTGCAAACCGGCTGACTCAGAGAAAAGTTTTACTTGAACAAAGTCATTAATCACAGGTTTACGTGTAATTTGCACAGGTGTATGTATATTTGTTTTATTTGTTTGTTTTTTTTTATGTTATCAGATTTAATTTAGCTTGTTTATTCTCAGAATGCAGAATAAGCTGATCCAATAATAGAAAATAAACAGCATGATTTACTTTCACTTTTAGATTAATATGGTATTTCTTCCTTTTAGCCACAATAAACAAAAATATTTCTAATCAGCACAACTGTCAGTGATTATGTGAAATCTGATGACAGTCTAACCAATAAACACTTCACTAATCAGAAAGGAAAAAAAAAGAAAAAAGAACTGCTTCTTGAATTCTCAAAATAAGAAGTCCACTGACTCTGCACAAGCAGCAGCTGGTCTAGTTCTTGGTTACCTGCCGTCTGTGGAAGTTTTTCAGCTATTTTTTCCTTCAGCTGTCGGACCGTCATTTTCTGCATCTGCTCTTCTGTGTTGCAGAGATCAATCAACGTCTTCTCCCCTCTGAGTCCGTGAACCATCACCTGGTAGAGTTTCCCCATTTCCCTGCTGCTCTCTGAGCTCCTGCTGCTTCTGCGATTGAGGCTCTTCTGGTGTTCTTGTGAAAGCACAACAGAATATGATGACAGAGCGGGCACAAGATGCTTTCACTTTCTACTTCATGTAAAAAAAAAGCATTTATTACACCAATAATGTAATGTCTATTGATGTATTATTACTTGTTGACTGGTGTTATTGTTGGTGCTGCTTTGCCTGATTCTATTATGTTTTAGAGCAATCAGCATAAATGTTTGTCAATGACAACGTGGAGCATGTGGAGCACAAATTCGTGAAGAAGAAGAAGATCTTTTCTATAGCGCCTCTCAAGATGAAAATCATGAGGTGCTTCACAAAAACAAAAAATGTAAAAATATAAAAAAGTATTTAGAAATTGATTAAAATATATTTAAAATGAACAAAAAATTGTCAATTGTGATTAAAAATGTAAAGAGAGAGAGTGTGAATAGGAAAGAGGGAAATCAGTGTATCCTGAGGAAGGTGGAATAGGTGGGGAGAGCAGAAAAGGAGAGGGTGAAGAAGGTCATACAAAAGCCAGCTTGAACAAGTGAGTCTTCAGCTGCTTTTTAAAGGAGTCCACTGAGTCCACTGATCTCAGGCTCAGGGGGAGAGAATTCCAGAGTCTGGGGGCCACAGCAGCAAATGATCTGTCACCTTTGGTCTTTAGCCTGGTGCTGCACAACCAGTAGGTTTTGATCACTGGACCTCAGGGACCTGCTGGGGGTGTAGGGACTGAGAAGATCACCATTGTAAGATGGTGGTTGTCCATGTAAGGCCCTATAGACCAGTACCAGGATCTTGAAATGAACCCTGGAGTTGACTGGCAGCCAGTGAAGCTGGAGGAGAAGCGGGGTGATGTGGGTGTGTTTGGAGGACTTGGTCAGAAGCCGAGCACAGGCATTCTGAACCACCTGTAGACGTTTCAGGGAGGTTCTGCTCAGACACGTGAAAAGAGAGTTACAGTAGTCTAAGCGTGAGGAGATGAAGGTGTGGAGAACTTTCTCAAGTTCAGAGCGGGACAGAATGGGACTCAGCTTAGCAATGTTCCTGAGATGGAAGAAGGAAGAGCGAACAAGAGAACTGACATGAGAATCCAGGGAGAGAGCTGGGTCAAAGGTCACACCAAGATTCCTGACGAAAGGTTTGGTGTGAGAAGCAAGCTGACCAAGAGAGTCTCTGACTTTGGGAACCAGCTTGTCTGGGGCACAGATGAGGATCTCAGTCTTATCTTCATTCAGCTGAAGAAAGCTCCTAGCCATCCAGGTTTTGATAGAGTCTAAGCAGGTGTGTAACAGCTGCAGCTTAGACATCTCATGGGGCTTAAAGGAGATGTACAGTTGGATGTCATCTGCATAAAGATGGTAGGAGATTCCTTTGAAGGAGCTCAGGATGTGCTGAAGAGGAAGTAGGTAGAGGAGGAAGAGCAGAGGCCCCAGCACACAACCTTGCGGGACACCATGGGTAAGAGAGGTGGTGGAGGACCTAAACTTGTAGACGGCCACAGAAAAGGAGCGCTCAGAAAGATAAGAGGAGAACCACTCCAGAGCAGTTCCTGATAGGCCTACCCAGTCTCTCAGCCTCTCCAGTAGCAGGTGATGGTCAACAGTGTCAAAGGCTGCAGTCAGGTCCAGCAGGACCAGAACAGAACAGTCCCCTGCATCACTGTGAGTCAGAGCGGTTTCAGTAGAATGAGCTCTATGAAAACCTGACTTCCTCCGGCCCAGTCACCGCCAGGTCCTGCGCCTCCAGCCCGGCCTGTCCAAGAGGCTCCTCCCCTGGCCCGGCCTGTCCAGTCGTCAGTGCCCGGTCTGACGCCTCCAGTCCAGTCGTCAGCACCTAGTCCGGCAGCGCCAGCCAAGGGGGCGGTCCCGTCTACAGCTGCTCCGCCTCCACTCCAGTAGGCGGCCCCTCCTGCAGCGACTTCGTCTCCACTCCAGTCGGCGGCCCCTCCTGCAGCGACTTCGTCTCCAGTCCAGTCGACGCCTCCAGGTCCGGCGCCTCCAGTCCAGAAGTCGGCGCCTAGTTCGGCAGCGCCAGTCAAGGGGGCTGTCCCGTCTACAGCGGCTCTGCCTCCACTCCAGTCGGCGGCTCCTTCTGCAGCGGCTCCGCCTCCACTCCAGTCGGCGGCCCCTCCTGCAGCGACTTCGTCTCCAGTCCAGTCGACGCCTCCAGGTCCGGCGCCTCCAGTCCAGAAGTCGGCGCCACGTCCGGCACCTCCAGCCGAGGCAGCGGCGCCACCTACAGTGGCACCGCCTTTCCAAGAGGCTCCGCCTGCAGCGGATTTGCCTCCAGTTAAGTTGGCGCCTCCCCCCGCAGCGGATTCGCCTCCACTCAAGTCGGTGCCCGGCCCGGTGTCTCCACCCAAGTTGTTGGCGCCTCTACTCCGGTCATCTCTACCTGCCAAGACTCCCCCTGCAGCGGCTCTGCCTCCAGTCACCGGGTACTGTCACACCCTGTCCTGTCTCCCCGTTCTGTTCAGTCATGTGTCCCTGTTAATTGCTTCTACCTGCCTCTCGTTTTCCAATCACCCAAGCTCCCAGCCCTCATGTATTTTAACCCTCTCAGTTCTGTGTGTTTTTGTCGGTTCATTTAATGCGTGTTCTGCATTAAATCCTCGTTAAATGTTCCAGTCTGTCTGTCTGCCTTCCTGTCTGCTTCTTCCCCTGCATTTGGATCCTCCCCTCCGGCTCAACTCACCTGTGTGCGACAGTCACTAACAATCAGGACTACACCATGTGTACTTTGAGCTTTCTTCTTTTATAGCTCAACTCCATTCCTCTAAGTCAGTGGTTCCTAACCTGGGGGTCCTGACCCCCACAAGGGGGCGCCAAAGCCTCTCAGTGGGTCGCCAGGACCTCTCCACTTTAAGGGGTTAAAACTTCATTTATTACTTGTTTATAGCCTCCATTTTGCTCACATTTTTTTTCATGAGTGAAAAGTTTACTGATATTAAGACAGGAAATAATTAGTACAGAAAAAGTAACACACTTTTAAGAACATTTTGCTCAGCTCACTGTGTTATTTTCAAGTGTCAAAAGTTCATTAAAGATAGGATTGGTTGATTAATCACAGCGTTTACAGTAAATAATCTAGTATAAACAGTAATATACACATTTAAGTACATTTTTCCCAGTGTACTTTTTATGTGTCAAACGTTTATTGAAAGGAATGATTGATTTATCAGTGTTTACAAGAAACAATGTGTTCAGAAAAGTAATACAAACTGTCAAGCACATTATGCTCTGTTTGGTTTTGTTAATGACTTCTGTACTGTACTGGAGCCTACTATTACTGTTATCTATTGAATCAAAGCATATTAAAATGTGCGTGAACAATTTTATCATTTCTTAATACTGTTTGTACTGGAAGAGAGAATGGGAGGGGGTCGTCAAAAATTTTACTGGTAAAAAACGGGTCCCTTGGGAAAAAGGTTGGCAACCACTGCTCTAAGTTATCTCCATTTCTGCACGAGGCTTTTCCTGTTACAGTGCTGGAAACATCCTTGTTCTCCAAAACTGGTCATGTGTTCAGGGTGTGTGTTGATGTTTTTTCTTTATGTTGCCTTACCAAGGAAAAAAAACCATCGCATTTATGATTTGCGTTCAATTTACTATTTTAAAATGTAATTATTTAACACCGACTGGATTCAAATGTCATTTTATGCAGGGTTTTAAATTATTTATGTAATTTGATTTTATTAATTCATGACAGAAATTAGATTCCTGAAGTAGAACCACATATCAGAACTGACTGGATCATCTTTTAATTATTTAGCAAAAAAACGTTTAAATGTTCGAGTTAGTTTCATGGGACTTCCCGGTATTTCACAGGAGGAAGAAAGTGAAAGAATAAACAGCCTCTGTGGTTAATCTGCTTTAAAAGCAGCCTCAGCAGGTATTTCCTGAGGGCTAACCATCAACATATATATATATATATATATATATATATATATATATATATATATATATATATATATATATATATATATATATATATATATATATGTATATATATATATATATATATATATATATATATACTGTATATACACATATACATATACATATATATATATATATATGTATATATATATATATATGTATATGTATATGTGTATATACAGTATATATATATATATATATATATATATATATATATGTGTGTGTGTGTGTGTGTATGTATATGAATATATATATATATATTTTTTTAATATATATACATATATATATATATATATATATATATATATATATATATATATATATATATATATATATATATATATATATATATATATATATATATATATATATATATATATATATGTATGTATGTATGTATATATATATATATATATATGTATATGTGTGTATATACAGTCTATATATATATATATATATATATATATATATATGTATATATATATATATATATATATATATATATATAAATATCTATATATATACATATATGTATATCTATCTATCTATCTATCTATCTATATATATATATATATATATATATATATATATATATATATATATATATATATATATATAAGTTGATGGTTAGCCCTCAGGAACTGTTTTTGTTTCTGCATTTCTGCAAACAGGCGTTTCCTGTTTGAGTTCACAGCTGAAGAGCCTGCTGGAAACTACCCTGTTTTTCCAGAAGTGGTCATGTGATCAGGGTGTGTGTGTGTTTTAACTCGTTTTTTCTTTATGGTGCTTTTAAAGAAATCATATCATTTTTGATTCATGTAACTTCAATTATTTAATATTTAAATAATTGATAATGATTGCGTAAGTTTATCATTTTATAACTTCAGGTTTTAAAACTGTTGAAGAAATTTTATTAAATAATTACAGAAGAGATTTCTGAAGTAAAACCACAAGTGACTCAAAGCTCACTGGAGCATCTTTCATTATTTTGAATAAACAGTCAAATGTTTACATTTACGGTAAGTTATATGTGATTTTCTGTAAATTCACATAAGAAAGAAAGTGAAAGTATAAACAGCCACTCCTTCAGCAGCAGCCTCAGCGGGTGTTTCCTGAGGGCTAGCAGACGAGCTGATCAGATCCAAGATGAGCTCTCAGGAGGAGAAACGATACGACCCCAGAGACGCCACGCTGAGATTTGTCAACAGACCTGATGATCTGGATCCACTTCGTAAGCAACAGAAAATGATCAGCTTCTATTATTATCTTGTCCTTGTTTTGATTTTTTTACTTTCAGTTTGGACACAAGAGCTTTCTGTTAAAGTAAAGAAATGGTTTTCCCATAATTGTATATTTTTGAAAATAAATACAAGAATAAAGTTTTTTAAAATTAGGATTCGTTTTCCATCACATTAGCAGCAATGTTGGGTTTATTATCTGCTTTTGTTGCTCCTCAGCCCCTGATGAAGGAGACCTGGGTCTCAGAGCAGAAATGTCCTGTGGTCATGCCGTCACACCACAATCTCTCACCGGCTGGTGCCGCAGCCTGTTGGATCAGGTACTTTCCTCCATCTCTCTATTTGCAGGTTCTAGTTTTCTTTTGTTATCCCACTAAGACCAGTTCTCTTCTAAAGTTCTTGTTTTTGTTCACTTTTATTTTGCAAACCTGATGAGGGTAAATGCAAAAGATTAGGAACTTTTAAGAATGGCAGACGTGTGTTTGCTCTAATTAGTCAGACATGTCCCACTGGGAGAAGAGCCTAGTTCTAACCCAGGAGATGCTGGTCAGATTATATTCCACATGTGGCTTGGGCCTCACTCAGAATCAGATGAGGTGGAGGAGATGGGTGGAGACAAGGAGGTTGGGGGATTTCGGTTTATGCTGTTTTCACTGCCATAGCTCCAAATAAGAGCTACAGTCTGATTCATGCTCTGGCCTGTGATAGTCTCCCTGTTTACTTTTTAAGGCTTTCATATCCTCTCTAGGGCTAAATGTACCAATTTTTTCACCTCAGAAAACCTATAGTTTCTAAATTGATCTAGATGATTTTCAGTTACTGTTTTTTCCCCCAGATCTTTTAATTAATATCTATGGAATTTTATGTTAAAAGCTCGTTGGAGCCATCTGCTGGCCCTTTACGGTCATGAGTTCTGGAAGATGTTTCAAGATAACTATTGTGTTTCCCTTCAACTCGTTTTAAGAGTACATAGATTTACATCCACAATTTTCTATTCAACTGAACCCACCCCTTTGTTTAATAAATGTGACTAGCTGAAATGGAAATCCAAATCATGATTCCGTTGTCACCGTGCCACAGAGCCAGAACAGTGTTAGATGGGACTCCAACAGCTATAGGGAAAATGTTATGTTTTGAAAAATGTTAAAAGTTAAATAAAAAGACCTTGTTAAAATTGGGAAATGTACAAAATATGAATGATTTTATGATTTTAAGGGCAGTGTTTAATATTTTCAGGGCCAGTATAAGTTTAAGTGCCCTGCCTTAGAGGCTGGAACCCTGCAAAGGTGTAACGCTGAGTGGTCGTACCAAGAAGTACGCCGGCTTGCCGTCCTGACAGTTGAGGAAATGCAGCACTTTGAGGAGAACATGGCCCATCTGGCTGCTGCAGAGTTCTGTGACTTTACCACAGTAAGTGGTTTTAGTTGAATTCAACAAAGACTGTTCAACAAATTCCAACTAAGTTTAGTTTGTTGTTTGTTTTGACAGTGTCCTGGTTGTAAGTCCTACGTGGAGAGAGAGGACCTGACCAACCTCTGTGTGCAGTGTTTAGTGTGTGAAGCAGATAAAAAGGACACGTTCCAGTTCTGCTGGCAGTGTTCGAGGCCGTGGAAAGGTGCAGTTCCACGCTCTGACCGCTGTGACAATGATGGCTGCATCAACCAAGACCTGGAACTGCTCAGGACCTGTAAGACCACCACCCTCCGTGATGTGCAGGGGGTTGATCCTGTTCCCTCCATCCGGGCCTGTCCCACCTGTGGTCATAAGGTGGAGCACGACAAGACGGGCTGCAAGAACGTCATCTGTCCTCGCTGTCAGGTGGAGTTCTGCTTTGTTTGTCTGAAAATCACTCCTGTGTGTCTGGAGACCAGTTCCTACTTCATCCCCTGCAGCGATGGTGTGGCTCCCAGACAAACATCCATACCTGTGTGGAAGAGAAACTAAAAAATAGTTTGCACAAGGTAACTTCTCATTCACTTGTTCACTGTTTTCTGTTCTTAGGGAGTCATTGTTCTTTAAAAGCAGCAGCTAGGGCTGAATTAAATAACCAGTTATCTTTTAATTAAAACTCAAGAGAGTCCAGAGCCTTCCAGAACTTGACATCACCCTTTAGAAGGAGCTGGATGGAGGATGTTTGGTGTTACAGGCGTGTAAATTGGAGTCACCTGCAGGTTTGCTTCAATTAGATGCCAAAGGGCGATGGAACAGAGAGAACAGAAGAGGACCAAGGACTGAACCCTGAGGGACCCCACAGGACAATGATGCTTAAATTAAGGTAGCAACCTAGCTACAACCGGAGTTAACTGTGCACAACACCAGAGCTTCTGAGTCAGAGATACGCCGGGCTGACCACTGGGTAAAACCGGGTGGAACACAGAGGTCTCCGGAGAGCTCCACAAGCCGATAGTCGGAACCCAGCTCCACCAACATGTTACATTTCAACCCATTTCCTAAAGTGCAGCGTTATGTTAAATGCACTGGGTTTTACCCTATTACATTTAAATTTCATGGTTAAACAGTACATGTTAAAATCTAAGCTCAGCTCGGCAGTGACCTAAAATACATAATTTTACTTACCGAAAAAAATGAAGTGGAGACTCCTTGGATGCTCTATTAGTGCCACAGCAAGTCATTTTGTCCAACAATTGCACAAATAATATCAAAAAAAGAATACACAAACACAGAGACTCAAAATCCCAGAGCAGTTTCCAAGCCAGACCGAGGCTCTACTGAGGTCTTTCCACGGAGCTAGCTCTGTGGTCACGTGGGTCAGATGCTCATTAATTATACAGAATTTTAGGCTTTTAATACACTTAAACAGAAGAGTGAGAAAAAAATTCACCCCCCTCAGAGTTGTCATGAGTGTAAACTAGATCATTTAAACAAAAAACATGTTTTGGTACCAGGCTGTAAACATGTTTATTTCTGCTGTGAAATTGGTATTTTTAACATGGGCGTCAATGAGGATTTGCTCGCTTCTGACACCAGCCCCCCAGCGGATGAGGGTGGAACTGCAATTTATTTCACTTCCGGGTTTGCCTCAATTTTTCACCCGCATTGTGGGGGCTTGGTCACACCAAAGCCAGCCTGAACAGGTGAGTTTTCAGCTGTGAGTCCACTGATCTCAGGCTCAGGAGGAGAGCGGTCCAGAATCTGGGGGCCACAGTGGCAAATTATCACCTCTGGTCTTCAGCCTGGTACGCTGCACAACCAGTAGCCTTTGGTCACTGGACCTCATGGACCTGCTGGGGGTGTAGGGACTGAGAAGAGCAATATAATATAATCATTCTGGATATAAAATCATAGAGTTTAATGGACGTGGTTGCTTTTTCATGCTGAGCGACGTTTAACAGAATGACATCATGTAGTCGATCATAAACTATCACTGTTTTAAAAGTTACACATACAATTTGGAGTTTCAGCCTCCATCTCACGCGCTCTTCTTAGACTAGGCAGCTTATAGAATATTTCTATGACAGACATGTGTCCAACTCCATATTCACACAGCCGTTTGGAGTCTTCTTCCATGCGTATGCCCTTACAAACCAACAGGACCTTTGCACACATATCTGACAACTAAACACAGGTGAGTCATCATGCTGACTGATTCCGCACATGCTCGCGCGAGCACACACACATTTATCATAGTCATACCCATGGACGTAATTTTCACTTTAGAAGTGTGTGTGTGTGTGTGTGTGTGTGTGTGTGTGTGTGGGGGGGGGGGGGGGGGGGGGGGGTATCTTTACAGTATGCTCTAATGGGAAACAGGCTTCAACATAAAAGGTTGTTTTCTGCTTGGTCCTAGAGCTCAACCAGTGTCAATTTAACATAGCGTAATATTGTTTTTGGATGGTAAAGAGTGCAGGGGTCAAAACTTGACTTTGGAAAAAGTGGGGGGGACATGCCCCCCCCCCCCCCCCCCCCCACACACACACACACACACAAAATTACGTCCATGGTCATACCTGAAGGCCACTCAGACGTTTCCTCTATCTTCTTCCTCAACTGCAGCACAGTCATGGTCTGAAGCTCATCGTGGTCGCACAAGTCTATTATCTTGTGATTTAGATAGAAGTCAATCACTGTTACTCTGACCATCATCCCAGTGTTGTTCCTGTCTCTGGTGATGGTCCGAGCCCGCTAACGCTGTCTAACGTTTAGAAGGGAACGCAACACATAAGCTGGAACATACTGAGCGGTGGGATTCAGAATATAAAGTCCTTTGGTTTAAATTGTTGTCATAATATACAAAGAAGCTAGTCGCAGCTAGCTAGCGTACACATGCACGCCTTCCAGAACTCTCACCCCTCCCGTTGACTAAAACGTAGACATGAAAATGTAGACACGCCATTAGCGTAACAGTGTAGCTGCCTTATTGGATGGGTCTCCAGATTCCCTGAAGTCAATGCGGCTTTAGGGTTACAACAACAGGCGTAATATTGAAAACATATCACATGGGATTACTATAGGGAGCCTAAATCTACTTCAGCACCATGGGTTCCCGGAAGAACGAAAACATGAATGGAAGTCAACGGGGCTAAAAACGCTACTTTGCCTTACGCCTTGGATCATACATGTTGTACTGCAATTTAAATGAAAAATATTGATGGATGTTTCGACCACGCAAGTCACATACTTTGAAATTTATTTGCTGGTAAAAGTTCGTATTTAGTATGTCTACAAACTAGAAATCAGCACGTCGCGTATGTTGCAAGTCCCAGCCGGTCAAGACTTAGAAACAGTGGTCAGAAACAGGGGTCACAGAAGGGTCAGAAGGACAAGAGTTCAGGACTTGCTGTCGGGGACAGAACTAGGCAAAAGGTCAAGAGACAGGCTGGCTTCCCTGGTTCCACCCATGGCCCCACCCCTGGATCCACCTCTGGCGGGAAAAGAAGAAATGGAGAAGAGTGAAGACAGCCCATTTGGATCCAGAAGTTCTCAGGAATGCTGAAGGAAGACCTACAATTTGCTACCAACATGAAGATTTATGACCTGTGTTCTCATGAAGGAGTGCTGCATATAACGTTTTGTGCCCTCATGTGAATGCTGAATGAAGTAATAATGACACCAGATGTTTTATGTTGAGCTAAAAAGTGTATTTGGTAAATGACCCCTTGACCTAAACTGTCAGGAGAGAATGATATGTGACTCTTACATTGTGTAAAGCAGTCTCAGGAATGATATAAAAAGGATGCAGCTCAGATCGAAAGGGTAGCAGTTTGGAGAGTTTTGGAGAGTTTGGGGCGATTTTCAGAAGACCGAGTTGGTGTAAATCAACTCTCTTATTTAATCATTTAGAACTAATTCCTCCTTGGGGGAAGCGGTTGTTTTATATTTACTCATTTTTGTATTTTTCTATTTTGTAATAAATTTTTTTGAAAAAGAAACATACCGGTAATCCTGATTATTTCAGGTTTTCTCTAAAGCTTCACGAGTGGGAGCCCTGACCATTCATTGCACAGAGGTAAGCACATTAATTATGGGTTCTTGAATTATCAGGACTTACTTTACGGTTTGTGACAGATTAATATAAAGAAACCTTAAGATAAGGGGAGCTTGACTCCTCCCTCACCCGCGAGTGACGAGTTGTCTTAAGGATGATGAAACCAGAACATTAGTGGTTAATTTTGGCTCTGATTCGCAAGTTGAAAAAGTCTCTATCAGCTGGAGGGTTGGATTAATTAAATAAATTGATAAAGTTATGTTAGCCTGATCAACTAACAAAAATCATTTTATAGTTACCAACCACCCACATAAGCTGTTAGAGGCGCAATTAATCCAAATAACCCAAAGAATTGCCGGAAGGGTTGGCTTCCCGCCGGGCTTCGTCCCTAGTATTTTAACCAAAAAATAATGGGATTGCTTAAAAAGAAGTGAGCTACTACAGAAGGAAAAGTCTTGCATATTATTTCACCTTTAAAATAAAAGATATGATTCTAACCTAGGACGCCCAAACCAGGGTCTAATACGATAATACTCACCGACACCCCCACCGAACCCTGATGGATGCACAGTCTCATAAGTTCTAACGGAACTGGGTTTTAACGGAACCGACAAATGGGACGTGCACGCGACAACGTAACCACATAAATCTCCTCTGCCCAAAGTAGCTGCTACTTAACAAATGACCAGAATTATGGTGGTTCTTTCCTCCTGTGGGAAGTTTGCTGAATTTACAGCAATTTTCCCTCAGTTTTCTCCGTATCTGGTTTCATGACGTTGTGAAGCACTCCTGGACTTATTTTCACACAAAACATAAAATAGTTTTCCCCTCGCTTTCTTGGTATCAAAATGCGTCCTTAAAATTCACAGACATCATATGTGAAATCCATGGCACAAAACAAGTGGAATAGCATTTTTAGCCCCATTGAATTGCATTCATTTTTTCGTTCTTGCAGGGCCCCATGGTCCGGAAGTGGCCTTTTCCACCGACCAAACTGGCACGGAATGGGAAGGATCGGGTCGCAAAATTTTTTGTTTCAATTGTTGAACCAGTCCAGGAAACCTACCCGGACCAAGCCAGTAGCGGGCCAGAGCGGGACCCCTTCTGTTGTGGGTCCAGAGATTTTTGGTCTGGGTGGAGCCACAGCATAAAAGGTCTAGAGTCCTCTGATTGGGGGAGAAATTACGTAACTACCCGCGACAATCCCAGGTGATGGAAAAGAGCTACCAGATTTCCAGTGATTGTGTTTGGCTGTAATCCTTGTGCGCGAAAATGCCTGCAAGTAATAGCTTTTGGTCCAATGCGGAGATTCAAATGTTCCTCACCATCATCGGAGATATCATCCCATCCAGCTCGGCCTGAATGTTGCTAAGAAATGAGAAAGTCTTTAAATAAGTTTCTCAGCGCATGGCAGCTGAAGGATTCCAGCGCACCTCCGAACATTTTCGTGCGAAGCTGAAAAAAATAAAAGCCCACTACAGAAAAGTTAAGGACAGCAACGGCCATTGTGGGCCGGAAGCTCCCTATAGCCCACCTGATGGGATTTTATATTTATTTATTTTGTTTAATTATATTTATATATTATGTATTATGCCGTACCATGTGTCTGACTTCGTGAAAAAGCTTGATAAAATGTGTTTTTTAGTTGGGTAGGCACCTTCCTCAGTATAAATTAATGCACTGTAGGCGAATGGAGACCCATCTAAAATGGCGTCCGGCCCTACGGAAGCAGGGGTCTGGGTAACGCCAAACTGCGCCCCTCCGTATCTTTCAGGGTTCAGGAAAGCAGCGTTCCGAGGGCATGAAGCTTTTTTTTTCTTCTTTTTTTTGTGGGCAGGATGCTTGTAATGACGCATTTTGAGGTCAATGACGTCACAGCACAGCGACGAGTACTGTCCGAATCCCAAGAATACTTTTTAAAACTTTATTTACAATTGAACAAATACAGACTCTCGTTAGGGGACCATAGATCAGTACATTCAAGGCCACAACTATAAAACAAAACAAAAATAACATAAGGCATGTACAAAATAAACATCCATTCCTTTAAAAAAAATCAACTAATGGTCCTACCTCAAGTGGAGGAGTCTAAGTATCTCGGGGTCTTGTTAACGAGTGAGGGTAGGAGGGATCGGGAGATCGACAGGCGGATTGGTTCCGCGTCTGCAGTGATGCGGACGCTGAACCGATCTGTCGTGGTGAAGAGGGAGCTGAGCCAGAAAGCCAGGCTCTCGATTTACCGGTTGATCTACGTCCCAATCCTCACCTATGGTCATGAGCTTTGGGTAATGACCGAAAGAACGAGGTCACGGATACAAGCGGCCGAAATGAGTTTCCTCCTTAGGGTGGCCGGGCTCAGCCTTAGAGAGAGGGTGAGGAGCTCGGACATTCGGGAGGGACTCGGAGTAGAACCGCTGCTCCTCCGGATTGAAAGGAGTCAGCTGAGGTGGTTTGGGCATCTGGTCACGATGCCTCCTGGACGCCTCCCCGGGGAGGTGTTTCGGGCATGTCCTGCCAGCAGGAGGCCCCCGGGTCGACCCAGAACACGTTTGAGAGGTTACATCTCCAATATGGTCCGGGAACGCCTTGGGGTCCTGCCGGAGGAGCTGGTGGAGGTGGCCGGGGAGAGGACGGTCTGGAGCTCCCTAGTTGGGATGCTGCCCCCGCGACCCGGACCTGGATAAGCGGAGGAAGACGAAGACAAAGACTAATTGTCCACGTCCCTGCTTAATAAGGCCGCTTTCTTGTTTTTGTTTACCAAAGCTTTTAGCGATGTTAGTAGGGATTTCAATTCACACTGCAGTAGATTAAGGGATGGCTTTTTGTTTCTCCATTTACACGTATGAATGTGGTATTGACCCCCAAGGATCACAACATTATACAACATGGAGAACTCCCCCTGTACACCCTCTTTTCCATACAGAATCTGCTCTTTGGTCATTGATGTCATTCCTTTCAGCTTGACACTCGACCAATCCACTAGATCCCTCCAGAAGCTAGTCACTATTGGGCAAGTCACGTGTAAAAAAGATGTTCAGTACTCTCCTCGTCTTGTAAGCAAAATCCACCTAAAAACCAAATCTTTTTTTGAAGTGTTGCTGTTGCTGGGTAATAACCATTAATGATTTCAAACTGCATTTCTTTCATTTTGGGAGGAACAGGCCATTTCAAAAACTTCATTACTTTACTTGTTATCCTAATGTTACAACGTTTTTATATACAACGTTTATATGTTGCAATGTTTTTATATCATTAAATAAATTAGTTTTAAATGCCC